ATATGCCGATGATATAACGTTGCTTGCTGAAAGTGAAGAAGACTTAAAATACTTAAAGATGAATGAATATCAAAGACCACAGCTTTCAGTATGGGCTGCACCTCAATGTAAAGAGAACAAAAATCTTCACCACTGGACCAATAAATCAAGAATAAATGGAGAAAAGATTGAATTTGTCAAAGACTTCATTTTGCTTGGTTTGACTATCAACACTCATGGAAACAGCAGTCAAGAAATCCAATGACATATTGCTTTAGGCAAATCTGCTACACAAGTCATCTTTAAAGTGTTCAACAAAGATGTTGGTTTGAGGACTAAAGTGTACCTGACCCAAGCCAGGGTATTTTCAACTGTGTGGATCATGACAAGCTATGGACAACATAGTGGAAAATGAATGTGCTGGAACATTTCATTGTGATCAAGAGGAACCTGAACATAGACTAAGAGACAGTCGTTCTAACCAAACAAGGGACATTGATTGGTTTAAAATCAGGAAATGTAACCATGGTACTAAGCATATGCATGTGAAAGTTGGACAATGAATAAGGAAGACCATAGAAGAACTGATGCATTTGAGTTATGGTGTTGGAGAAGAATATTGAAAAATCCATGGACTGCTAGAAGAACACACCAATCTGTGTTGGAAGGAGTACAGCCAGAAAGCTCTTTCAAAGCCAGGATGATGGTGAGACTTTGTCTCTCATACTTAAGACACATTATCAGGAGGTACCAGTCCTGGAGAAGTACATCCTGCTTGGTAAAATGGAGGGCCAGTGAATAAGAGGAAGACCCCACAACAATATGGACTGACACAGTGGCAGCAGCAATGGGCCGGCCCAAGCTTAACAACAATCGTGAAGACCTCCCAGGACCGGGCAATGCTTCGTTCTGTTGTGGATAGGGTCACTATGAGTCGGAACTGACCCGGAGACACCTAACAGCAACAACAACATCATACATGCTTACTTCTGAGAAAAATGTCAATATGTATTCTGTGGGAAGGGAGGAGAGGGGTAAATTATAAATGCAGCTGTTGAGATTTCTATGAGGAGGGAAGTTACAAAAACAGAGGGTCTCAGGCATGCTTCATTCTAAATGTGTAACATCAGAAAAGCTGTAGAACGATTTGTGGGAGCACTGTAGGCTCCAAATCTTAGTATTGATACACATGGTCCTCCTGGCAAACTGCTGCTAGGGCCAAAGACTATCTCTGCACCATGGTGTTGATTCTCTTTCTCCTTGTTTAGATCATTTCAGCTGGTTTCAGCTGAGCACTATTCAATCTGAAACCATGGAAATCAAATCTCCAGGGCATGCCCAAGACTAGTTCAAACTCTTGGACTACAGTTGTTGTTGCTGTTGTTAAGTACTGTTGAGTCAGTTCCAATCCATAGCGACAGTACATAGGGTTTCTGAGGAGCAGCTGGTGAGCTTGAACCACTGACCTTGTGGTTCAAACCGACCCTGCAGTCCAGCGCATTAGCTCACAGCGCCACACCAGGACTCCAGAGTCCTACAGATAGATACTCATGCTAAATTACTGTTACTGATCCCACATCCTCATCCAGTCTGCCTATTCTAAGACATTTCATGGGGGAATAAAGATTTTTGTTGTCATTAGCTGGAGTCATGATGTGGTGTTGTGGATTGTTAATGCATTGGTGGTGGTCGTGTGCCGTGAAGTTGGTTCCAACTCATAGTGACCTTGTACAGGGTTTCCAAGGCTGTAAAATGTTTATGGGAACAGAATGCTTCATCTTTCTCCCATGGAGCAGCTGCTAGTTTCGAACTGCTGACCTTGTGGTTCACAGCCCCATTTGTAACCACTACGCTACCAGAGCTCCTTTGTGGGTTAATGCATTATGGGTATGTAATTTGCTCATTCAAATACAGAAAATTCTACAAGTCTCTAGGAACCACCTCTCAGTCTCCTAGCATTCAGTTTAACAGATGCATAAAAAAACAACATAAAATCAAGTTTGTAGTGCTTTTAACAGTGCCAGCTGATTATATTCTACAATTGGCCTTATCAATATAAAGGCCTACACTGTAAATTTTCCCTTCAAGAAAACCATATGAAGAAAGGAATAATACTTCACTGAGTAAAACAAATCTATAGGATTATGGCACATGAGACAATTCTGGTATCTGGAGTCAGAGAGATCTTGGATCACTAAACCTAAACTTATTCAGACAATTGTTCCTCTAATCAAAAAATAAAATGAAAAAACCAAAGAAGCAAAAAGCAAACAAAACAAATTAATCACATGGATTTCAATGTTCATTTTTCTTTTTTCACCTAAAATCAAATGTCTCTATTGCTCCCTTTGCCCACCCTAGTTTGACTCCTCTAGAAGCAATCTAGGCCCCTAATACCTAATGTTGTTGTTCTTGGTTCCAATTCATAGCAACCCTGTATAGAGTTTCCAAGAAGCAGCTGGTTGGTTTGAACCATTGACCTTGCAGTTAGCAGTCTAATGCTAACAGATAATTCTCAAACAAAACAATCAATCTCAGAATAACCAAAAACTGACTTTCTACTGCTTTACAGTCATTTATAGATGGTAGAACATTACCATTAGTAAGAATTTACCAAAATAAAATAAAATGTCCTCTTGTACGAGTTCATAGAAATATGGTGATTATTAACAAAAGGGGCACTTAGTTAAGCAGCTGCGATTTCTGAAGAAGTACTCTTTGTATAGTAAAAAATAAAATAAAAATAAAGGGTGGTGCTTTAGAAGACAGGGGCAATAGGTTAGGGGGGAGAAGTAGCAAATTACACGTAAAGGATTAACAACCAGAACATCCCAACTGTGTGGTCTCAGAGACAAATTAGAGATATAGTTTCATGATTTCCTAGAGCCAGTTCTGGGCTCTGTAGGAGCTGAAGCCCTTATTCTCACATGAAAAAGTACCAAGCTTTGTCAGCTGCTTTACGAAGCCTAATTATTAATGCCAGAATCAGGGTGGTGGAAGTAACAACAAACATCCAGCCGTAACCTCTGCTGTCCCAAATAAGATGACTTAATATAATACAACAACGAAAACTACAAAACTAGGTTTCTCAGCATGGTTCACGGGCAGGTTCTCTGGATGGGATTGTTGCAGATGATAAGAACCACTTAAGTGGCCAACAGATAGAGAAGTTATTGGAAGTTTGCTAGGCTTGAAGACTTCTTGCTATAAAAGATCAGAAGAGCCTACTGACCAAAAACCTGAAGCGGTAAGTTTGCTTTAGTTATAATTCTGTTCCTTTTCTGCCCCTTCTCCGCACCCTACTCTCCCTGGCCCCAAAATAAGAGAGGCCACTCTCAGCCTCCCTTGCAGAGAATCCTCTGTTCTTCCTCATCTATTTTTTTTCCTTCTCTATTTTGCTTCAGGGTGGTCTGGAGACATTCTTAACTCCCTGAGTATCTGTCGTATGTTGCATGCAGCACAGAAGCCCAGGAGGCTGCAAGGCCTTTTACCACCCAGTCAGTCAGCACCCTTTCCTAACTTCCAGACAGGTCAGTAGCCTCACAGCAGGAATGTACTGTTCCACAGCCACTATACGTGCCCCGAAAAAGGATGTTTCGCAATTTGAACCTTGTGTGAGCACCATATGATGAGGGGGCTTCAAAAAATTCACAGAAAATAGGAATGAAAAGATAATGGAATTTTTCTACAAACTTTTCAAAGCCCCCATTGTAGATATAGGTATTCGCACCCCTAGCCCCATCCCCCATAATCAGTAATTAAATCCCTGTAAAGTGGATTTTATAGGAGCCTGAGAAAAGTATCCACTGGATACAGGAGGCCAGCCTTGCCAGGTGTGCGGCCAGGCTGGTCTGGGACTACACTGGCCACAGATAAGGGCTATACACCTGTCCAGGAGTGCAGCAAGGAGCACGAGAGGATGCAGAGAGGTGGCTGTGGGAACGGGTGTCTGGGTGCTGGCAGCAAAGCTGGCCGGGGCAGCCCTGGTTGCCACCACCCTGATAGTGCAACTGCTTCCTGGTTGTGTATAGCCTCTGGCACCCAGAGCTAGGAGCTCAGCCGGCACTGCCAGCACCCATGGCTGGAGCAAAAGAGCCACAGAAGCCGCTGCCTGGTGCCAGGACTGAAAGGCAGGTGAAATAAGTGGGGAGGAGGCACTTTGGGATTGGGATCTGTGTGCTGGGCCCCAGTGCTCATTCGCTCTAGGAGCTGGAGGTCTTTAAAATCATTGTAGTTCTTGTTAGGTGTCGTCAAGTGTGTTCCAACTCATATGCACCACAGAAGGATGCCTATGTTTGGGTCCATTGTTGTCATGTCAGTCTGTCTTTAAAACCATTACGGGGAAATAATAAACAAAAGGAGATGTGCTTTAAAAAATACCCTATGGGACCAAGGATATGGTCTGACGGCCAAAAGAACACTGAGCAGTACACACTGCATATGGGAACATGGTGGCTTCATACAGTAAGCACTGGACTACGGACCACAATGTTCACGGTTCTAGCTCACCAGACACTCTGTGGTAAAAAGAAAGTGCTTTCTGCTTCCGGGAAGATTTAAAACTTTGGAAATCCTATACAGGGTAGCTATGAGAAGGAACCACTCAATGGTGCTTCCTAACAGCTGAGTTCTGCAGGAATCTCAGAGCACATCCTTGGTCAATGCCGCTGTTCTCACTCACTTCCAACGATTTACTTCAAGGGATCTCTTTTAAGTCACTCAGAATCAAACCCAAAATATATAAATTAGCAAAAAAGATGGGTTGTCCTCTGTTGAGAATAAGTAGTTGGCAGCAAAGAGAAAATAAAACAGACCAAATAAAACAGATAAAATGAGAATCCACAAACCAGATTATGAAACAATATCCTGCTGACATTTAAAGAAAATAAACCTATGGCAACAGTTTAACTGTTGCCTATTTGCCTGTACTCCCAGGTTCCTCTTATTTGGGACGGCACAGAACTTTTCCTTTCTCTGTGTATTTAGAGCTCCATGCTGAGTCAACATTATTTACTACTTACTTGGGCTTGCTTGCATACTTTAAAAGGCTGAAGTGTTTCTTGGTAGAAAAGCTGATGATAAGCCTGTAGGTCAAACCAAAAGTACACGCAGTTCCTCCACAACTGCAGATGGGAAAAGTACATAAATTATTACCACCCAGTTATTAAAGTTGAGAAAGCTCTGATTTCAAGTATAATTATTTAACTCCTTGGTGTTACCATAAATCAGTTTTAATTTAAGATGGTTTTAATCTTCTATCACAAACAGTCAGCAATACAACATACTTACTGGTATCTTCTCTAGAACAGTATTTTTGTACATGTGTGTCTCTCACGTAATTTGGTCATTAAAATAGTAAGTGTTCTAGTTAACAGTTAAAGAGCTACATATTTCTGGCATGGAAATGTAACCACACATTTCTGGAATGAAACCAAAATCTGGAGGTATTTTGATATAGATAGGCAAATGTATATCAAACCAGAACTAAATATTGCACTGATAATTTACCAGTTAAATACTTTTCAGTTGATCAAAATGAAAACAATTTTTATGGTTAAAAACAAACAAAAAGAAAACTGTATATAGATTTGCAACTATTCATTATAATTAGTAATTATTCAAATTATTAAAACTTAAAGGACGGCGAGAAATGAACTCCCAATTTAAAATATAGTAGTTCAGAACTTAGTGCATTGAAACAAAGTTTTATGAAAATATTGCAAGTAATCCAAATCAATCCTTGTCTATCTGTATCTAATTTTCTTTGGATAGTAAACTAAAGATTTAACACTTTTACTGTATACGAATTATGACATTTCTTACTAAAGGAGGTAGGAATTTTAACATGAAATACAATTATTTGAGCACTGAGAAAATGTCAAACTATCTTATTTTCAACTAAAGCAAAATCATAAAATTTGATTTTAAAAAAATCACTTTATACCTTGTTTCCTGAATGCTCACAGAATTTAGTAAAGAAGAATCCAGCTCTATTTTCTATATACAAAGACTGCAACAAATTTTCCATGTCAAATCCTCCCAAGGCACCCACGTCTGAAGAGATTTTAACCTAGATAGCAAAACAGAAGTTCATTATCCACCCAGATACATTGTATTCCTTTATGGAATTGTACGATGACAGGGTTTCATAAATCTACCACACTGTCATTTCCCCACTGGACTGTTTTGTATCATATATGTAATTAATGTCATAAGTTTGCATATGACTGTCATATAAGACTCATTTATGAAGCCAACTAGAGTGGCAGTGCTCATTCCACTATAACCCATCTGATTTCAAACTTAATGTTGCAGTGACTGTCCAACCTCATTTATTTTCGTGTTTCAGGCACGATGATACCATTTTAGGAGTCCTCCAAATCTCTGTTGGTGGCCTCTTTCATACATATTTACTGTTGTTTTAGCCTTGAGGTGCTGCTATTATAGCGCCAACAGGGTTATAAAAAGAACTATCTTCAAGGCCTCTCAGTGCTGCTCATTAACTATCCTTAGGGAGTCTCTTTGGACAGCCTCACCGGCACAGGTCGTGGCCTGCAACGAGTAAATGGCAGTACAAATGCTCATAAATTGTTGCCGTTTAGGAGCTTTTCTGCCAACAAAGCTGGCAACTCTAATATCACTCTTGAAACACAAAATGCTGCCTCTTTCTGAGTACAAGAATGACTTCAGAATACAAAAGGATAGCTACTATTCACCTGAACTTGCTACTTTTGGTTTTGTGAAACTCAGATGACTTCTTTGTAATCTTAAAGTAACTGTGACATGATCAAGGGTCTAAGTAAGGGTCTTGCTTTTTTAGTTATAATCTCTCACTTTCTCTCCACCTCTCCTTCTAAACTAATTCTGAGGTAAGAATTTAATGTCTAATGGATTTAGTAAGGAACAACAACAACAAAAAAAGTCTAAAGCCTAATTAAAAGAAAAAAAAAACTGTGTGTTTAAAATAAAATGGTTATACAAAGTTAGATCTAAGTGCTCAGACTATATTTGGGCTGAGATTTTTACCTAAAGTATAATCCTTTGGGAATGTGAAATTTTCATCTAGAACTTGTACATTAAATCCATCTATCAAGGTAGCCATGCTCTGGAAATGTTCCACCTTTAGAAGATTCTAAAGTCTGAAGACATAAAAAAAATCAAATAGCATTCTTATCTATTATTAAAAAATTAGTAAAAACTGTCAAAAGGGCTCATTTCTTATTTTGGGTTTGAAGTTTCATCATACCACAGTCAGAACAGTTGTTTCTGAAAACAGTAATCAGTGGACTGCTTAAGAATATGTTACCACAAAAGGAAGCATGTGGAAATTTTTGCATAAAAATCCTTTTGCAAGGGAAAAATAAATTATGTTAGTGAAAAAAAAAATTACTAGTCTGATAGAAACTGGAGGAATTCCAAGACTACAGCCCTTAGACACCCTTCAAACAAGGAACTGAACTCACTCCTTGATTCAACTTTTTTTAGAGAGCACAATTTTGTTTATTACCAACTCCAAGAATCTTATCAACGAATAAGAAAAGTGATTACAGTGAATCTGTCTAAAGATGGCCAGAGAGAATTTAGTTGTTTAGTTTGTTTAAACTATCTTATCAAAGTAACAATCTTTAATGAAACTTTACTTCCGCATCTCTGCATTGCATAAATGTCAACTTACTGTTTAAGAGACAGTAGTTGTTAGGAGCCATCCAGTAGGTTAATGCTACTGTTGTTTTTAAGTGCTGTAGAGTCAGTTCTGACTCACAAAGACCCTGTATAGGGTTTCCAAGGAGTGGCTGGTGAGTTTGAACCATTGACCTTGTGGATCAAACTGACCTTGCAGTCCAGTACTTTATCATACAGTGCCACAGTAGGTAAATAGGTTAATAGCTCTCCTTTACAATCATAATGCCATGACTCTTTAGCCAAAAAACAGACAGGCCTATCAAGTGAATAGCAAGCCCATGGAAGTACATACTCCTCAGAACAATCAACATGCAGCGTGTGCCTAGAAATAAAGCCCAACAGGCAGGAAGGTAGGGGGAAGGTGGGAAGAGAGCTGTTATATCTTTGGGATGGCGATCAATGTCATGATGCAAGATGTGTACGAACTGTTGAATGGAAAACCAATTTGATCTGTGAACTCTCACTCAAATCACAATAAAATGTTAAAATAAATAAAAAGTGTAATGGTAACTTAAAAAACAAACAAAAAAACCCTCTAAAATCAAAGGAAAATTAGTTAAATGTGGAATTAGGTTTGTCCCTGTTCAAAATACATACCTTAGGTTCTTCTGTATAAGTATATTTTCTTTCCAGCTGCGGCTTCAGACATTCAGAAATGTCAGTAAAATAAGTTAAATGAATGATTTTGCTGCTTGATAAGCGCCTTGGCCTGTAAATTATAAAGACGAGAACCAACCAATCAACAAGCATATTTTGAGCACCTTTGGTATGCCTGGTATGCAATCTTGGGTGTGCTTTTGAGCACTGTGAGAATCAGAATGAAAAAAGCATAAAAGTCAGTTCTAGGCTTTAAGAAGGTGGTGGAGAAAATGAGGCACACTTATGTAGAAAGGCAATTCACAATAAAAGAATTCAAGGGAGCATATTACAGACACCAAATGATTGAAATAGATAAATATTCTGAGAGTGTAAGAATGAGAAGACCTTTCAACCTGTATGAGTATTTTAAGAAATGAGATTTTTCCTAACCCTGAAAAAAAATGAGTAGATTTATTCTGTGTAGGATAAGCATTAGACTGCGAACTACAAGGTCAGCAGTTCAAACCAGCCACTCCTTGGGAGAATGATTAGGCTTTCTGTTCCCACAAAGATTTTTGTTGTTGTTAGGTACCATCGAGTTGGTATCGACCCACAGCGACCTTGTGTACAGCAGAACAAAACACTGCCCAATCCTGGGCCAACCTCACTACTGTTGCCACGCTTGAGTCCATCGATGCTGCCACTTGGCCAATCCATCTCATCGGGGGTCTTCCTCTTTTCCTCTTACCCTTCAATTTATCAAACATGATATTCTTCTCCAGCGACTGCTCCCTCCTGACAATATGTCCAAGGTATGGGAGACAAAGTTTAGCCATCTTGGCTTCCAGGGAGCACTCTGGCTGCACTTCTTTCAAAACGGATTTATTGGTTCTTTTGGCAGCCCATGGCACTTTCAGTATTTTCCTCTAACACCATAACTCAAAGGCAGAAAATTTATACAGGATTGCAATGAATGGGAACCAACTCAGTGGCACTTAATAACATAGAGAGCAAGAGGTTCTTTGGATGGGGAAAATAGCAATGAGTGAAGGTAGGTAGGGAAAGCCTTATTTAAAAGACAACAAGTTAGGCAATTTGCTTAAGGCAAGAGGAAACTATACTATATCAGAGTCCCTGGGTGGTGCAGATGATTAAGCACTCAGTTACAAGCCCAAAGATAGACAGTTTGCAACCTACCCAAGGGTGCCAAGGAAGACAGGCCTTGTAACAGGCCACAGCCCTGAAAACCCTATGGGGCTGCCATATGTGAAAATGAACTTAACCACCACTAAAAACAGTAATACAGAGTAAGCATGGTGTGAAATATAATTCATATTATCAAATTTAATCCTAATGCTCAGTGGATTTCACAGAGATTTGTATAAGATAGGTTGGTGTCAGATAATGAAAAATTTTGGAGTTAGACTAATGATTTTAGACATTATCTTTGTATATTTTCCTATATCACTCTCTCTCCTATTCCCCACTGTAATTATTCTAAATCTTCTTTTCAAAGATCCCTATATGCCTGTAGGATAAGGAGCTCTGGTAGCGTAGTGGTTACGAATCAGGCTGCTCACCCATGGTCAGCAGTTTGAAACTACCAGCCATTCCATGGAAGAAAGATGAGGCTTTCTGCTCCCATAAAGATTTACAGCCAGAACCCCTATGCAGGATTGCTATGAGTTGGAACGGACTCCACAGCATACCACCACCACCACCATAGGCTGTAGGATAAGCACTAGACTGCAAGGTCAGTTTGAATCGATAGGTTGGTACTTCAGACTCATCAGTCACTCCTGGGAAACCCTATACAGTATGACTATGAGTGGGAACTGACTCAAAGAATTTACCAACAATAATGTATTTGTTCCACCTCACCAATCCACTTCGACCCCAATCTATTAGCAAACTAAGTTGCTGGTTCCTCTCAAATAAAATTTAGTTACATGCATCAGTTTCCAGGTTACTACGTGGCAGATAAATGACAGAATACAGAAGACAGGGTATTAGAGGAGAGATAGAAAGAGTTTAGCATATATTGAACTGGAAATTGAGAGTGAGAGAAGAGAAAAATTGGGCTTGAAACAAGATTAGAAGAAATTACAGCTGAGAATTTTCCTAAACTTATGTGATACATCAAAGTCACAGACTTAATACCCCAAGTGAGTTAAAAGGAAACCCACACTGAAACATATCAGAGAAAAACTACAAAAATAAATAACATGCAAAGATACTCCTAAAGCAGCTATAGAAAAAGATATATAATCTTCAGAAGAAAAACAATTAGCCAGAAAGTGAACATCTCAACTGAAACAATGAACGCTAGAAGGAAACAGAATGATACATTCAAAGCGAAAGAAAATAGTTACCAATCTTTAATTACATAACCAGCAAAAAAAAAAAAAAAAATCATTTAAGAATAAATGCAAATGTAACACGGATAAACCCTGAAAACATTATGCTAAAGTAAAATAAGCCAGATGCAAAAGGCCACATGCATGATTGTTATGAAATATCCAGAAAACACAAATTCATCGAGACTCAGTTGATCAGCAGTTGCCAGGACTGGGAGACGGGGAGTGACTGCTAATGGGTATGGGATTTCTTTTTGAGTAATGAAAATATTCCAGGATTAGCTAATGGAGAAGGTTGCACAACTTTGAGGATATACTAAAAACTACTGAATCATACACTTCAAAATGGCAAATCTTACACTATGTGAATTCTATCTCAATTAAAAATAAAAGAATGAAGCTAATGTGATAAATTATTCAGCAAAAAATTATTCAGAATTAGACCTACACCTATGTTACTAGCAAAGGATATTTCTTCAGGCTGAAGGAAAACAATCCCAGTTGAAATAAAGAACAATGAGAAGGGTAAATAGGTAGGAAAATCTAAAGGAATAAAATAATACACTGTATTAAACAAACATTATGAGGGGGCTTCAAAAAGTTTGTGAAAAAAATGTAATTAAAGGATAATGGAATTTGTCCAAACATGTTTTGAAGCCACTTTGTAGCCTGAGAATCTTTTGAGTTCTCAAGTTTGAGAAATATTGAATAGAGCTAAATAAGAATCGGAGGGTGTCACAGATTGAATTGTGTCCCCCAAAGTCTGTACCAACTTGGCTGAATCATGAGTCTTCATGCTTTGGCAGTTACGCAATGATGCCATGTGGCAGCTAAGTGATGGTTCCCCATGGTGTGATCTGATGTGATAAACCAATAACAGGACTAATGGGTGGGCTACAATGCCCTAATACCATTAGAATCCTATTATGACATAAGGGGGTTTCCAGGAGTGTGGGCTGCAACATCTCTTATCTTACAGAGATAAAAGGAGCAAGAAGTAAATAGAGAGAAGAAACTGGTACCACCAAGACAGAAGAGCCAGGAGTAGGGAGCGTCCTTTAGACGTTGGATCCCTGCACTGTGAAACTCCAATTGTTAGGTGCTGTTGAGTTGGTTCAGACTCACAACCCTATGCAAAACAGAAAGAAACATCTTCACAATCATAGTTATGCTTGTGACCACTGTTGCTGCCACCACTGTGTCAATCCGTCTCATCGGTAGTCTTCTCTTATTTGATAAACCAATTTTATTAACTTACTCAGCAATTTACCAAGCATGGTGTCCTCTTCCATGAGAACATGCCCAAAGTATGTGAGGCAAATCTCACCATACTTGCTTCTAAGGAGCATTCTTCCAAGATAAATCTGTTCTTTTGGCATTCCATGATTATTTCAATATTCTTAGCCAAAACCATAATTCAAAGGCATCACTTCTTTAGTCTTCATTAGTCACTGTCCAATTTTCACATGCATATATGAAGTGATAGAGAATGCTATGGCTTGGATCAGGTGCACCTTAGTTACTTAAAGTGACATCTTTGCTCTTTAACACTTTAAAGAAGTCTTGTGCAGCAGATTTGCCAGTGCAATATGTCATTTTATATCTTGACTGCTGTTTCCATGAGCATTGATTATGGACTTAAGAAAAATGAAATCCTTGACAATTTCGATCTTTTCTCCATTTATCATGATGTTGCTTATTTGTTCTGTTGTGAGAAGTTTGTTTTCTTTATGTTGAACTTTCTAAATCTAAGGAAAGATTGATGCCAAGACTTGTAGAGATTTCCAATGGATGCTGGATCTTCAGATACTGAAAGGAGATAAGGACTTTTCTCTAGAGCCCAGGCTCTGAATTTGAACTTCTAGCCTTCTGAACTGTGAGAGAATAAATTTGTTTGTTAAACCCATCAACTTGTATTATTTCCTCAAATACCACAAAGCTCAAAGACTACATACAATCTTTGAGGCTGAAGATCAGAGGTATAGATCATAGCCACCATCTTTTTAAAATGACTAATCTGGAGTCCTAACTTAACTTCAACCATGTAACGGAAATATACTCCTCTAGGATAAGTAACGAGCTGTTAACCACAAGGTTGGTGGTTCAAATCCACCAGCCATTCCTTGGAAATCCTACACAGGTTTGCTATGAGTTGGTATAGACTCAATGACAGTTAACAAAAATACAAATACAAATCTTATGAACTATAAGAACTCAGATTAAAAGTCTATTTCGTTTTCAATTTCTATTTAATTTTTAAATTGTTTTAAAAGCTTATTATTGTGGAAAAGTACTCGGCACATAAAAGGGGGCACTTACCTTTTCTCAGTTACATCATCCTTAGAGGAACCTGGACATGAAGGCTCATTCTTCGGAGGCTTTTGGATTGCTGCTTTCGCTCTAGGTGATTTCTTGGGAGATTTAGGAGGCTGTAATGAACTGGATTCTTCTTCCTAAAAAGTAGTGAGGTCATGAACAAAAAAATGAGCAAAAAATTTAAAGGACAGAAAATAAAGCATAATTCTGCATATGCACTGCAAATTTATTTTGATCACTAGATGATTGCTTACCCCAAACCTACCACCAATCATCATTGCCACTAGAATAAATGGGTTTTTTTCCCTCTTTTCCAAAGTCCCATTTATGCAATAAAAAATATAACAGCTATTTAGAATAGAAAAAAAGAAAAGCCAAAGCTTGTGTATTTTTACTTCTACCATGTGAATGGGAAAGACCATTTCCTGGAGGGAAAATTAGACAAAAACTTTGTTCTATAGTTAAGTAGATTTTCGAGCTACTGTGTTTGTAAGGTGGCAGGGCAGGCCGGGTGGGGAAAGGAAGCAAAAATGCCCATGGTTTAAAAGAAGCATGTATATCTTAGTAGCACTATTTCCTTTCAGTTTGGGACATTGTATTTCAACAGCTATTGTTCTCATTCTTAAAGGTAACTTATAAGAAAAAATAATTTAAATCCAGAACATGAGAAGCTACATGAATTAAAAAAGTACAAACATCTAAATGTCACATGGACAAGAAAGAAGTATTATCGGAATGTGGTGGTGGTGGTGGTGGTAGTGTGCCGTGGAGTGGGTTCCAACTCACAGCAACCCTGTGTAGGGTTTCTGAGGCTGTAAATCTTTATGGAAGCAGAACGCCTCATCTTTCTCCTACAGAACGGCTGGCAGTTTTGAACTACTGACCTGGAGGTTAGCAGCCCAACTCATAACCACTATGTACCAGAGCTCCTCTGAATACGGTATATATGTGTATATGTGTATATATATATAACATTATATCATATTATTAATTAGTGTAAGCTATGACAGACATGAAAAAATGCTGATGGAAATATTAAAAGAAACAATCAGTATATAAAAGTTTAAGTGCATTAAAACAGAAAATTCACAACTAATCTCAGGAAAAACAAGTTACTAGTTGTTTAGTCTGAGGTGAAAGCCTAAGTGGTTTTCCTCTAGTTTCCAAAGTTATAGTAGTTTTATTATTTTATCATTCAAAAAATTTACTTAATTTTTTTCTATAATATCAATTCCATTAGAATATAAGATGCTGGAAAGCAAGGCATATATATATGATGTTTTATTATCTGGAACAAGTAATAAGATCATATATACACTGTAGGTGCCTAACAGGAACCTGTACAAAGACCAAAAGGCAGTCATTAGAACAGAACAAGGGGATTCTGAATGGTTTAAAATCAGGGAATTTGTGCATCAGAGTTGTATCCTTTTATCATACCTATTTAATCTGTATTAATTTGACAAGATGGGTTATATGAAGAAGAATGTAGCATCAGGATTAGAAGAAGACTCATTAACAACCTATAAATATGCAGATGATACAACTTTGCTTGCTGGAAGCAAAGTGGGCTTAAAATACTTAGTGATAAAAATCAAACACTAAAGTCTTCTGTGTGGATTGCTCCTCAATGTAAAGAAAGCAAAAATCCTCACAACTGGGCCAGTAAATAACATTACAATAAAAGTAGAAAAGATTGAAGTGGCCAAAGACTGCATTTTGCCTGGATCTACAATCAACACTCAAAGCAGCAGCAGTCAAGAAATCAAATGACATATTACATTCGCAAATCTGTTGCACATGACCTCTTTAAAGAGTACAGTAGCAAAGATGGCAGTTTGAGGACTAAAGTGTGCCCTACCCAACCCATGGTATTTTCTATCATCTCATATGCATGAGAAAGTGGAACAGTGAATAAGGAAGACTGTAGAAGAATCCATGCATTTGAACTAAGGTGTTGGAGAAGAATATTGTCAGAAGAACAAACAGGTCTATGTTGGAAGAATACATTCAGACTGCTCCATAAAAGGCTGGAAAGACTTCATATATCATACAGTGGACATGTTATCACGAGGGACCAGTCCCTGAAGGAGGACATTATGTTTGGTAAAGTGGAGGATCAGTGAAAAAGAGGAAGTCCCCCAACGAGATAGGTTGACATGATGTCAGCACCAATGGGCTCAAACATATCAACAATCATGAGGCTAGAGCAGGACTGGGCAGTATTTCATTCTGTTGTATATAGGGTCTCTATTGATCTAACTGATTTGATGGCACAGAACAACACCACAAGGTGCCTAATAACCAGAGGTAGTTCGAGACTTATGATGTAGTCAAGTTATGATGAATTGTCCTTAGCACTGTGTTGGGGTTTTTTGTACATTTTATCATTAGCAACCTGATAGTATAGTGGGTTACACATTGGGTTGCTAACCACAGGTCCAGCAGTTCGAATCCACCAACCTGCTCCATGGGAGAAAGATGAGGCTTTCTGCTCTTGTAAAGATTTACAGCCTCAGAAACCCTACTGTTATTGTTGTTAAATGCTATCAAGTCAGTTCTGACTCAAAGCAACCCTGTAATGGGTTTCCAAGGAGCAGCTAGCTGGTGGGTATGAAGCTCTGACCTTGTGCATCGCAATCCAGTGCTGATCCTACCAGGTTGCTCTGAGTTGGAACAACACAGCAGGGCAGTATAGGACAGCATGCAGCAACAGCAGCAACATTCATAACATGCAAAATGGTACAGTGCTTAGCTTGCTGATATTATCATTCTCATATATTCACTTCAGATCTCCAAAGATCTTATTTATAATGACACTGACAGTAAAAGGCAGTAATAATGAAAGATAAAGGGATTGAGGAGCAATCCACACAGAAGACTTTAGTGTTTGATTTTTATCACTAAGTATTTTAGACTCAATGTCAGAATCAACTTATGATGAAGTCGTTCGAATGGAATCTATAGTAATAATTTTCTAGAGAACTCTATAAACAAAATGGGACTCCTGGTGTGGCACTGTAGGATCAGCACTGGACTGAAAACCACAAACTTAGCAATTCAAACCCATCAGCTGCTCCTTGGGAATCCTATACAGGGTCACTATGAATTGGAACTGACTCGATGGCACTTAACAACACTAACAATAAACAAAATTACTTACCTATATTTTTTTTAGGTATAATTTCCTATGTATCAGGGCTCACAGAACACAACATGTCATTAAATGACACTCAATAAATGCTATTACTGGTACAGTTAGCTGATCTTATTAAATGTATCGTACAGAATAAGGCCTGAAAGTTTTGAGTGAAAAGTAGAATAGAAAGTGACAGATGAAACAATAAAGCTGATAAAGGATCATAAGAGGACTTTTGAGTGTGAAGAAAATTTTCTATGTTATGAATATACTTCAAAATTCACAGAACTGTGTGCTAAAAAGGATTAATTTCACTGTATATAAATTATACTTAATTTGTAAAATAGGAAAGATAAAGAAAATTTAACTGAGACCATTTTCTACAGTGTTCTCTGCTAAGGAAGGACAATGAGAGTCAAATCAATTGTCCAACTAGAAAACATCTGTGGCAACAAATAGTAACTATGCTCAGAAGGACACAGATAACAGGTGAGTGGACTAAACAGTGAGGTTGGTACCACTTGTTCACAAGCTCCTTTCCCTCCTCTCCATTGGTATTTGAACTCCTTTCATTAACCACACTACTTGTTTTTCCTTTCCTCTTAACTTTCAGTTAGATAATGTTAGTTGTACAAATGTTTCCATATCACCATGTTGACCCGCTGCACACACTTTGCCTTCCAGATCTGTGTTAATTGGTCCCTGCTTGTGTTACTAAGTCACTTGAGTTAACCAGAAGGATTATATTAGTTAGTTCAGTGGTATACAAAAAGACAAGGTGCAAAGAAGGTCCACAAAAATTTCAAAAGGATGGCTAAGAAAACTCTAATGTACTAAAGTGGCACTCATTCAAAGTATTACCAGACCTGCAGCAAGATCATCTCCTGGAAGGAACTGAGTTAGAAATGAACTTTTATGTGTCCCATCCTAAACCTGAAGCACTGGTGTAGCATTGTAGGAAAAGTACTAGAATGCTAACTGCAATATAGGTGGTTCAGATCCACCAGCCATTCTTTAGAAACCCTATATAGGATTGCTATGAGTCAAAACGGACTCAATGGCACTTAATGAAAACTACTGAATCTGGTATCTGGGTGGAGTCCAGAAATCTGTGTTTTAACAAGCTCTTCAGGTGACTTTTATATATGCTAAAGCTTGAGAACTACCAACTATAGCAGTGCTTTGCACACCTCAATATAGGAATCACCTGAGAATCATATAAAACTGCGGTTACGAAATTGTGGTTTTAATGTTCAGGCTCAGGTGAAACTTCAGTTTTAAGCCCCGATTTTACAAAGTGACCCCGACCCATTCCAGAGCAATTAAATTAGAATTTCTGGGTGGGACCCAGGTGTCGTGTCAGTGGGTTTTAAAATCTCTCTAGGTGATTCTAATTTGTATCTACAGTTAAGAAACCACTAACAGAGAAAACCTGTAAGATTGCTGTAACTCTACAACACTATGTGTAGAAGTGAAATGTTTTTCTTAACATGGTTTTATATATATATAAAACAAAACATTTGCTATTTAACCATTTTTAAGTGTATAATTGAGTGACATTAATTCATTTCCCTAAGGTATGGAGTCAACATCACCATCCTTTTCCCAACGTTCTTCATCATTTTAAACAAACTGAGAAGAAGCACTGGACTGTGAACCACATAGTTGGCACTTCGAGCCCACCAGCCACTCTACAGGAGAAAGATGAGGTTTTCTGCTCCCTCAAACATGTACAGCCTCAAACACCTTAGACACAATATGACTCTCACTGTGAGTCTAAACCGACTAGACAGCACTTTAACAACAACAAGCAAACTCAGTATGCCTTCAACAACTCCCCATTTCCTCCTTGTGGTACTGTGGGTTAATACACTGGACAGCAAAGTCTGTTTAAACCACAAGGTCGGTGGCTCAAGCCCACCAGTCACTCCTGGGAAGCCCTATAGAGACAGGGTCACTATGGGTCAGAACTGACTCAACGGCACATAACAACAACAG